CAACACAAATTAGTGCCACTGCTTTTTGCCCTGGTGCACGCCCCTGCGCATGGGGTTAGGGTGGGGAAAAATGCTCTGGGTGGGGTAGGGAAGCCTTACCTGTGGGTCCTGGGGGCCTCCCAGGCCTGTAGTGGTGGCAATCCAGGTGTGTGGAGCCTGGCCAGCAGCTAGAGCATGGGTCTGGCCAGCCAGGCTCTGGTTTCAGGAGGTGCAGGCTGCTGCTATGTGTACTGCCCTGCTTTTTTTCCACAAGCTTGTTCTTGATGCCAGGATTTCCCCATGTCTAAATTTGGCTTCACACTCCAAATATGCAGAGTGGAGAATCAAATCATGTGTGTGGGCTGCATTTTGTGGTGCCTCAAAATTCACGTGTGTGCTCATGTGAACGTGGCCTAGGAGTCCTTAGGGCCCTAATTCACTTGATTCTGACCTCATTCCTACATGCATTCCTTATTCAGTAGCTCTTTGTCATGCAAAAAGGAGACAACAGTATTTATCATGTCATTTGTAACAATGGCTCTTTTATATACTATAGAATAATTGTATGAATGGGGGCTACATTGGCATGTATGTTACTATATCAAAATATAAATGATAATGTGCAGAAAAAAGCCCTGTATTTAGCCAGAGTACAGCAATGAATTAATCACAGTAATGACTGCTTTGTGGTTCCCTTCTCACATCCTTGCAACAAGATATTTAGCAGAATTCACAGTTTTGCTGGAACCTGACAGGGCCACACTACAAGTGCTTCTACTATGGCCTCAAACTTGCAACTCTGGGTTGTCAGCCATTCATCTTAGCTCCCACACTACCACAGCCTTACTTTATTGCTGGGGTCCATCAGGTAGCTTTCAATAAGTTAGTTTATATGCCAGGAGCAATCTAGCTGATATGCCAGTAGCAATCTAGCTACAGCACAGCACAGGTTGCAAAACATACCTGAGAAGCACAGTAAATAACCCTGTTCTGAGCTCCTTGCTGCTATGACTTGAATGCTATTGGAACCTGAAGTATCTAGTTTAAGGCTAGTTCAGGGCAGGTACACTGAAGTTGCTCTTGCAGCTACAATGTAGACACACCTTTTGATATGCAAGCCAGGATATCTGCACTGACAGCAACATATTTCTAATACAGTCACCTCTCTTTATAGATTGCCTGTCACCCAATGGCATAGGGATGTTATGGGATTCCTGAGGCACAGGGGCAGCTGTGACTACCTATTGATGTTTTTTTGTCTCTCCCCCACCCATTGGTGCCCCCTGGCTGGTGGCCTGGGTCACCCTATCCTAGTTACACCATTGTTGTCACTATACAACCTAAACACTTTTAGTCAGATGTTAATAGTGGCAAGTAATAAATTGGGATACCTGCAGGGAAAGTAGTAAGGGCAGGTGGCCTGACCTGTGCCCCTTGCCTGCCCCTTAACCCCTGAGTGCTTGAGCCCTCCAGCACCTGTTCCCTGTTCCCTGTCCTCCTGGTCACTTGCCCCCCCCTCTGGTCCCTACCCCCCTACTGCCTGTCCTTCTTGTTGCTTTGCCTGTTACTGCACTGTATAGTTTCCCCAATGATTCTCCCCCTGAATTGTGTGGTCTCCCCAAGGTTTCTCCCCCACACTGTGTGCTCACCCCCATGCTACCCTCTGCACTATGGGATGTCCCCAAAGTTTCTTTCCCACCCTGTACTATGTGGTCTTCCTTGCCTTCCCTCGCCCCAATGCAGTCTCTTCTGTGCTTCCTCTCCACCCCACGCTGTGTGGTCTCACATGTGCAATCCCTCCTCATACTGCTGCTCTCCTTTGCTGCATGCCCTGTCCCCTGCTACACTAGTCCTAAACAGGGAGCAGAAAAATGGCTGCTGTGGTCTTGGCCTTGGCCCTCATAGCTGTATCAAAAACAAGGTTTTTTTCCCTCCCATGTTAAATGGGAGAAAAAACTCATCTCGGATTTGAGTTAAAATACAGTATATGATTTGAAACTGCACTTGCTTTTTCTTATTACTAGGGCTGCTAAGAAATTTTCCATCCAATTTTTTTTGTGATGGAATATTGCCCTCAAAATTAAATGCAGAAATGCATTTATTTCTTCCCTCCCTCTGATTGCTTATTTTCCTCCAAAAAATTTGTTTTTGTTTGAAAATTTTGGGAGGAGGTTTGAAAAAACAAACAACAAAAAAATATTGTTAGCATGTTATTGTTTAAATTCAAGAGAAGGAGTTGAAGATACATTCTATCTTGCACTTCTTTGTATTTAGAAAAAAAAATTTTTTTTTACTTGCCTCTCTATTTATATATTTTTATCAACTTCCTTATCCCCCTCTTCATTGTTTTACTGCTGTGTAGGAAACACTGTTTTGATGAATGCAATCATACTGGGTAAGAATAGCACGAAGTACAATCTATTAAACTTTTTTTTTTTATTCTTTGTATATGTTTGGCTTCCACTCAGTGTGATATCTCTGGTATGTGGTCTGCTGAGTACATCATTCCCCTGCTGAAGAGCTCTCAAGCACATGAATGTCTAAAAGAAAAAGTCCTGAGGTTTCTAATGCTTTAGAAAACTTCTATTTCTAATAATCTTTTTTTCACATCCCATATTTTTTTCACATCCTATACTCCTAAAAGGCATGGCTGAAATATTCATAAAAATCACTTGATCCTGTAAGAAGGGCAGACTTGGCCTGATTGTAAAGGCACAGTCTAGTTTCTAGTGGTTATTTGTGCTCAATAACAATGAAAAATATTAGTGGAAGACTTGAACAGGGATGGATGACCCATGTTGCATCTGCATCATGTAAAACTTTGAAAGAAAAACAAAGTTGTTTATGATTAGTTAAGAAAATTGTCTCTAGTTACTTTCATGCTGTAGAGGGTGGAGATTTTGTTTCTATCCCCCAAATCAACTGCATATATATAACTTATTTCATATTGTCCTCTTTTCCATTCTTTACATTGCCTGTCATTATGTGCATTTCCCATGTGTACGTAAAGTTTAATGTACTCATTTGTCTTCCTCTTTCTTATTATGGAACTTTGTTTTCTGGCTGCCTGCTCTTTCTCCAGAAGCTACATGTCTGAGATTATGGTCCCTAACAAAAGACCCAGCTGGACTTTCCTTGATTTTCCTGAAGGAGGTCCTTCTGGAGTGAAAGCCTGACAAAACTTGTGCTGATTTCAGTAGAGCCACAGGTTCACCTATGGAGTGAGGAATGTTTTGACTTTCATTAGTCCTGAAGTAGAAATTGGCAAAGTCATTGACTCTTCCATGTGGAAGAGACAGTATGGGAAAAGAAAACTTTCTCGTTTCCTCTCTTTCTTTCCCATGCACAAAGAGTGAGATTTGCTCGTTATTGTTTTAACACAGCATAACTTGAAGATTGTAAGGACCTTAAAAAGCCTTTATGGTCTCAATGGAATGATCACAATAATGGTGTTGAAAGAACAGTTAGTCATAATTGACGGATACACTTCTGGTAACACTACACAATTTTTTTACCAGTCTTTATGCTTTGGTCAGTGTGTGTGTGTGTGTGTGTGTGTGTGTGTGTGTGTATGGACGCATGCATGTGTGACCACATACATATGCAAAAACATACCCATATAAACTATTAAATATACAAAAATTATTTGCATGAAAGTGACACTAAATACCTGAAGTTTTAAGCTTGAAATTAGTATGTCTACAAAACTAGCTGTTCAGCGGCAGACTGTGTTTATATGAGAAAATCAAGTAAATGAACATTCAAATAGGCATGTAATTACTTGATGTGCTCTAGGATTTTCACAGTTTAATGAGTACACCTACAAAAATTTTGCTCTATTGTTATCTGAGCTAAAAACAGAAATGTCAGTTTATTCAAGATCAAGGTATTTTACTCTGCCTTTAATTTACTGTATTGTGCACAAGTTTTACAGGAGCTGTAAGCAACATATGCATCCCAGAAACAATGACTCAAAGATTAATGAAAAATCTTTAGTTCCAGGTTTTTTCACCTTGGGAGTTTGTCACTTTATGTGTTATATATTATTGCATTGCCTAATTTAATTATATTTTTACTGGTTATTTTCCCTCTACAAATCTGTTTTTCTTTTTATTTATTACCGTATTGACTTAGGTTATGTTGCCGATGAAGTCACTAGCAAAATGCTACTTTCTTCCCTTTTAATGTGTTTGTGCTTCTTTATATAGTATGCCACAGATTTTCAGCAAGCAATAAAGTCCACACAAAATTGTATGTGATATACCCATTTTGATGCCTCGCCACCTGACTTCAGGTGTAATCAGATTACTACGCACCAAAGTGTATGCAAATAACAATGCAAATAGATGCATGCTAAATATTTATGCTTAGCTTATGTGTTGATATTTCCTAGCTGTTTATACTGGAACGGTTCGTTTCCTTTTTTGAAAAGTTTTTTGGAGGTTGGAGTTATCCAGTCTGGGTTCAGAAACAATATCACATGGATTGTTCAACTAATCTACACAGCGTATACATAACAAATAACTCGAGCTACAGGAATCTTAGTCTATTTCATTAAAGTCAATGACCCATTGGCTTCAGTGATCCAGGACCATGTGGCAGGTGCGGAGCGTAAATTTTAAGACATATGTTATAGGCAGAGGTATACTTGCACAATAATTTTACTGAATCTTTTACAACAAAAATTGTAAAAGACTAAATGGCCTAATGGAGAGAATACTTCAAGTAGAAAACGGTCAACTTCATTGAAGAAAGTATGTGCTGTTACTCATATTTCACCCAGCTCTGTTTATTTCTTATCTATAAGATATTTAGATATTAGTTCCTTAAAATATTAATAAAAAAGTGAAGGTAGTGCCAAGGATTGCAAACCTGTTCTGTAAGAAATGACTTTTTCAGGTAACCTGCAATCACTGTGTTATTGATAACTTGTCAGTGAGACTGGTAACCTTATCTTTAATTCTATCATACCTTTCCCCCTTTTTTATTCATATTCCTGCTTTCTGGTTCAACCCTTCTAGCAATACAAGATCAAGACAAGTTACAAGGCTTTTGCAGCAATCCCTACAAACACATTACTTATGGAGCAGAAGGTCAGTTTTAGCTCACAAATATGTAAAATTTCTTTATGTTTTCAAACACATTGTACTTCACATAATACTTCATAATTAATACTTCCCTGACACTTCTGTTGGGAATACTTAAAAATGAAAACACTGCATGCTGACTATTCAGGATTATACCTGCTACTATTACTCAAAGCCAAGTAGTTTCATATAAAAAAACCTGAGACTTCAGTAACTTAAATTCCTCTTGAGGAAATCCCTATAGAAAACATTTCTTCTAAAATAATTTGTAGATTACAACATAAGGTCTAAATGTTCCTTTGAAAGCTTCAAAGAGCCCAATTCTCATAGTTTGAAACACTGTCAAAGGTTTTATGATGGATATTGACTATATAGTAAAGACCAAATGTTTTGGTCCTTATGTGGACAAAACAACCAGGAAAGCAATGATTCAGCTAGTAGAAATTTAAATTTTCAATGAAAATTAAATCTTCAAAGCACCCATTGACTTTTTTCTTTCTTTTCTTTTTTTTTGTTTGTAATTTTTTCCCCAAATTAATTTTGCCAAGTCCAACTCCCATTGCATTCAACAGATTCCATTGATATGAATGAACTTTTGTATCCAATTAATTCCACTGTTTTCACTGCAAGTTGGACATCTAGGCTGCTTGGAGGCTTTTATGAATTTCACTAAGCATGGATCTGCATCCTAAAGCATCTAAATACCTTTGTAAGTCTAGCTCTTGAGAATATCAGACCCATTACATTTCAACAAGCTTTAGACTTCTAAAGCTCAGATCATCAAAGGTACTTAGTTGCCAACTTCCTCTATTTTAAATGAATATTTAAGTGTTGAAATAGACTTAAAAGTATGACCTTATGTATTTTGAAAATAGCATTTGGGTACTTCTGAAATATTTGCTCCAGTCAACTGTTGTTAATTATTTGTGGACAAGTAGGCAATAATGTGTTAGCAGGTACAATCTAGATTTTTTTTTTACTGAAAACATATAATACACTCATTTTTAAAAAGTCATTGAAGTTTTTGAATGAGCTTTTGATAAAATATAGGTACAGATAAAATATTTTCCTTTACCTAAATTTGGATGAAACACTTTTTCTTGAATATTGATTTCACATATAGAAGGGAAGAGTAATGCCATCCTAGAAAATTATTTTGGCAACACTCTAAAATTGCTATATTTATTCAGCTTTGTGGACCTTATTTCCAACACATGAAGTTAAGTGTGCAGAAAGGTGATGCCTATGATGATAAAAAAAAGGAAGGCACTGTCTGAAATGACACCTGCATGAGACAGGAAACTTTAGGCCAAGTGAAGACATTACACCTTTACAAGTATAAGGGATCGGAAACTGGTCTATACCCATAGTAGAACAGAAGTTCTGCATACATAGACTAGTTTAAAAATGGCAGAGCATAGTCTTAATATTTCTAAGATTTGCCCCCCTGACTGCCATGGGGCAAATAGGTGTTCTGTTCACTACCAATCTAAACTACACTGCTTACAGAAAATAAAGTAACTTGGATCAATTCTGCCTCTGACTTTTTGAATGTCTGTACCTAGCCTTAGTGATCATCCTTTCCATTACAAATTCTAACCTTGGTATATCCTGCAATAAACAAAACACATTTCACACAACATTGCTAGAAATATGATTTTCTATTTTAGGATTTGGCTTTATTTGAGGGTTTAAGGTCTTCTGCTCTAGTGATTTAAAATATGCAGGGTTATATTGTACGTGTAGGCCCTAACATGACAAGAAGGGGCTTGCAAACTGCCTCCAGGTAAGAATAGGCACAGGAGGCATTGTTGCTCTGACTTATCTTTGATGTTAAACTCTCTCTGCTTCTCCCTTGCCTTAGAGAAAGGATAACAATCAAGTACAGTTCTGTACTGGCAGCTAAGCAGAACACCCTCCTTCAGCTGCATTAGACCCATAAGTTCTTGGGCAACCTAACCCAGGAAATAGAAAATGTACAAAACCTAGGGCCCCCAGATCTAGTATGTGGGTAGTCTACACAGGCTTTAATACAGCAGGGAACAATAACATAATTAGCGGGGGTGAGGGAGGAGGTGACCAGGGTAGCAACCCTAGGCACCACCTTTGAGGGTGTTGCAAAAATAGCTCCCACCACAGTGGGACCACCACCATCAGCACTATGGCAGCTAGCACTGCCCCTCTGTGTTGCTGATACCCAGGTGATACCCAGGGCACAAACCTGTCCTTCTGCACCTCTGGCAGGAAGTGTATTCACATCACAATGTAGAGTAGAATTAGATACTGCTGTTTGCTACCAATTTTTACACCCATGATCTTTTAAATTTGTGAATCCAGCGCTGTTGTGGAAAGGGGTTCAGAAGAACAAGATTTTAATTATATAAACAGTTTCTTTATTCAAGTAAAGTAATTCAAGCAAGTAATTCAAGAGAAGTAGAGAAGTACAGTTTACAGATATGTTTCTTGCAGCTGGTCTGCATTATTCTGGTTTGCATTATTCAACAAAGACGTCCATTAGTCATGATAGTCTCTGCTGAGCACAGGTTGGGAATGCATTGTCTGCTTATATCGGAAACAATAACTTGGTAATCAATTGAATCTGAAAGGCATGTTCAAAGTAAAAATAAAGTGGATCCTTGTTCCAGAGCTTGAGTAGTAATATCGAATCCTTTGAGTTGTGTTATGAAATGTGTCTGTGAGTTCCTTGAAGCCTATGATCTAGTTATTGTCCATATGAAGAAGTAGTTCATATGCTGATTTTGCTCTCTGTCTAAGTTGTTTTAGCTTTCTATTTTTAATATGTCTCCCTGTATCTAACTTTTTTTGTTTAATCAATTTACACCTTTATCTGTGTGGGATTTGCGCACATGCCCTTATGTTTTGGAGAACCACTGGTTCTTTTATGGAACCAATATACCAAAATAGCCCCTCACTCTATGGTATTGATTTACATTTTGGGATACTCTTTTATCATGGGCGGATCTAGGATTTTGAAAAGAGATGTGCAAATGGTGAGATTCATCATCACCAGGGATCCTGGTTTTCTCTGTTTAAAAATCACAAATTCTCTGATTAAAAATAAAAAATCCATGTTTATCCACGATTAAAATGAAACACCACTATATATATAAGTATCAGTTGAACACAATGTTTTATTGATATATTTACAATATTAAAGTAGTTTGGAAGCTTACCAGTGGCTCATTCATTATAATAAAATATATTCTAAATACCTATATATTTTGGTGTTTGATTTTATTTTTTTTTATCATGGAAAACAAGAGCCCTCTCCCTCCCCCTCCCCCCACTGCCTCTTTGTTCATCAGGATGCAAGACAAATGCGGCTGTTCCCCCTGCTGCTTTGTAGTGCTGAGCATCCCTGATATGCTGGTGTCCTGATATGCTGGGCAGGCAGGGGGCACCTCATCTTGGTGGTCATGAGAGTGCAGCGCTCCCTCCTGTCCTCAGTCCTGCTTACTGGGCCATGGAGGTGGCTTCTGCCTGGAGCTGGTCTGGCCTGGCTGCAACCCCATGACCCGCGTCCCACTTTGGTCACAGAAATATGGGGGTGCATGTGTCCCCCTGCCTCCTGACATGTCACCTGTACCTTTCTGCCCCCTGATGAGTCATCTGTAACCCCACTGCCCATAGACTTACCTGGAGGGAGCTGTGGGAGCTGCTTTCCACTGCTGCCTGGCTGCCATGTGGATGTGTTGACACGCAGACATGCACATGTTGCCCACTATGTCTCCTTCCCCCAGCCCCAAGCAGCCCCTGGAACTCTGCCAGCCTGCAAGGGGAAACCTGTGGTTTCCCAGCTGTTTTCCTTTAAAGGAGAAAATTCACATTTTTTCCATGTTTTTCCATGGCAAATGGAAAACCCAGAACCCTGATCATCACATATAATACTATGCACATTTTTTCCAATTAAAAATAAACTAGAAGCTTTACTAATATGCAAGGGGTCTAGGGCTGTATTATTCAGTTTAAGCTTGAAGCAAAAGCAAAGATAATTTCATTGGAATGAGTTTAAAACAATCTGAAGGACTGTGAAATAGGAACTTTACTCCCAGGAGCAGCTAACAGACAGCAAACTTGCAGAGCAAAGATAACTTGATTGGTGGAACATCAAGACTATTAAAAAGGAGAGGGTTGTTAACACCCATGGAATGAAGAGTTTAGAAGGAATCAGGCACGTTGTAATGAGCCAGAAAGTCAAATGACTGCCTCAGCACTGCCTGACTGGAAATAATGCTGCTACTGCTTGGAAGTTGGTTTTAAACTTTGGGTTGACCAGGAATCCAAGGGGCATTGGGGTGCAAGTGCACCAGTGAATGCACCCTGGATCCACCCCTGTCATTTACCAGAAGCTGTATAGGTGATGTAGAGGAAGACTCTTTACAAGCTAGACAGTAGAGACAACTAGGCCTGTGTGAATAGTTAAGTATTCGATTTGGATTCAGCCTATTTGGAAGACAGTGATTTGATCTGATGATTCGAATCACTGTCCCGGTTCGATTCAGCCAAATCAGATTGGATATTTGCTGCTGATTCAGCGCTGATTCAGAGATTTGAATCAGCTGGAGACAGGCAGGCACAGCTGGGTGGCTGCAGGTTCTCTTGTGGCTCCCCCCGCTGTGCCTGTCTCCTCCCAGGTGGGGGCAGCCACAAGAGAAGCCCCCATGGCTGCCATGCCTGGCCCCAACCCCCATCCGGCCCCAGCAGTTAAAAAAAAAAAAAGCCCACACTCACCAGCTGCAGCAGCAGCAATCAGGGCCTCTGAGGGCTCGTGGCAGACCCCTCCTGTGCAGCATGAGGCAGTGGGGGGCAGCGGGGATCACCCCTGCTGCCTGGCACCTATGTGGCAGCTGTCACATTGTGTAGGTGCAGCAGAGCTCAGCAGGGTACTGTGCGCTGTCTGGGACCTGGGGCCACTGGGGCTGAGCAGTGCCGAGATCCAGCTGACAGGTGGATCTGCCCCATCTCCCAGACAATGTGTGGGACCCTGCCAAGCTGCACTGCACCCGTGCCATAGGGCAGCTGCTGCATGGGTGCCAGGCAGGGAGGGAGGGAGGGGGGCAATCCTCGCTACCCCTGCTGTCCCAAGAAACTCCAAATCTCTCCAAATCTTTTTCCAATTGATTTGGAGGCTTCAGATTTGATTCAGATCTTTTAATGGGTCTCCTGATTCAAATTGGATTCGGAGATTTGGCCACTAAATTAGGCCAAATCTCCTCTGAATCAAATCGGTGACCGAAGCTTCACACAGCCCTAGAAACAACTAAAAGGATTTTTTATTTCAAATAGTGCACCTTGTACATCATGTGGCTTTCTTTTCCCTAGCAAGCCCAGTACCAATGGGAGTAGCAATCTTACTCCCATCACTAATTGTTATCTTGGTTATCTATGGTTCATGAAAGACTAGCAAGATTTATAGTAGTGTTAAGAATGATATTGTAGCCACTATGGTCCAGGAATTATGTGAGAAATAAGGATTTCTTAGGGTGATATTTTTTATGGGACCAACTTCATAGTTGGGATAGAATTATCCCAACTATGCAGTTATCAGCTAATTATCCCAACATTTTGCAACCTTTTGGTTGCAAAATGTTCTTCTTTAGACTGGAGAAATAAAAGCCAACAAGCATAGTGTAATACCCTGTTCTTAGACTGTACCTTGCATGTGAAACTGAAAATATAAACCTTTGTAATCCAAAGGCATTGGTTCTACTAGTAGTACTCCAAGGCTAGGTACATACATTCAAAAAGCCCAAGGCAGAATCAATCTAAATTACTGCTTAGATTTTCTGTAAGCATTGTAGTTTAGATCGATAGTGAACAGAACATACATTTGCCCTTTTGTTGTGGGGGCAAATCTTAGACTGAGTTCTGCCATTTTTAAACCAGTATATATGTACCAAGCTTCTGTTCTGTAATGGGTATAGACCAGTTTTGTGTGCTCAACTTCTGTTCTGTTACAGGTGTAGACTGGTTTTCAATCACTTATACCAGTAAGAGTGTAATGTCTGTGCCTAATCCAAGTTAGTTAAACTAAATACATTTTGATAGTTATCTTTAGTAAGCATTTTTTTCACAAGCATATCCTGCTTCCTTTGTCCATGAAAGAGGTAGTTTATACTACTTCCTATTCCTTTCTGATGTTTATAGCTGCTATAAAATCAGAAATCACTTATTTAAAAAATCTACCTAAACCAGGATATATCACTATAATTCTTTCATATACAGAGTTGTATGTCTTTATTCTCATCACATTTTCTTAGCAGATTGACTCTCAGATAGGGAATGTAGTAATCTGATAATGGAAGCCATCATAAATGAGCCTAAGTATGTTGGATGATACAGAGGTTTACTCTGACATATTAAATGGTTATGTCTTCACCAAGAATTGGCACATTATAACATTTGGCATGATTAATTCTCAATACCTGTTTGGAATATGTATACTTATCTCCTCGTGTACTGTACTGAACACTCACCCCACACTGGTATATTTTTTATTACTGTGATATTTCCTTTCTTGTTATGTCAGCATATTTCAGGATCAGAAAAAGATTCCTTCAGTCAGTGTACATACATACAATAAAAGATTTGCCTATATAAGAGGTGAAAGATTGACCCTGATGTAACTTAGGAAATATATTGCCTTTGTTTGATAATTGTCCAAGAAGTAGTGACTCTGACAAAAGGGGTTTATAATGAATAATTAAATGAATATAGTCCCAATATAATGCTGTAGCCCAAAGGGTATGTGACATTTGTGGATATATAGGGTGTGTCTATATGTTGCCATATGATAATGTTGCTGTGGTGCCATGCTCTAGTACTTCCTTTTGGAGTAGGGCAACATGTAGATGCAACCATAAGCTGGGAAATTTTAGTAGAAGTAATAGGTGCATTACCTCTGTATTTGGCACTTGTGTAACCACTGTTGGAGATGGTTAGAGAAGAGCCACAAGAATGATTACAGGATTGGAGAACATGCTACTAGGAAAGGTACCAGAAATACAACCTGTTTAGCTTTAGAAGATTAGGGAATGATTACATTACATTCTGTAAATATCTACACAGGGAAAAAAAGACTTTGATAATGGGTTTTTCAGTCCAGTAGACAAAGGCCTAACAAAATCTAATGGCTGGAAGTTGAAGCCAGGCAAATTAGACCAGAAATAAGGAAAGCATTTTTCATAGTGAAAAGGGTTAAATATTGAAACAAGTCATGAAGGGTTGTATGGTGGGTTCTTCAAGACAGCACTAGAAACTTTCAGATCATGACTGGATGTTTTTCTAAAAGATATGATCTAGTTTAACTAATAATTAATTCATGCGAGTCCTCTGGCCTATGTTACAGAAAAAGGCAAACTAGATGATTACAGTGGTCACTTCTCACCTTATTATCTATGACTATATTCAAAATTAATTTATCTAGCCTTGACACTTGAATATCTTCCATAATTTAACTTCTATGAGGTTAGAATCTATCTCAAAATTGTAGCTCTTGGGGAAAGATTATTTCTTTTCCAAATGTAGTATATCATTTATAAATTTAATATATCAAATGTTCTATAAACATATTCTTTACTTAAAGTGGATTAGGATAAAGAACTCTATTTGAAAAAAGTTCTGGATAAATTATCTCAAAATTATCTAATATGCAATTTTTAAAAATCAACTGTCAATAGTTAGCATGTGATGCTAATAACTCCAAGGTCACAGGCTCAATCCCCATATGGGACATATGACCTTCCCTGCCTCAGGCAGGGGGTTTGACTGGTGACCTCTTGAGGTCCCTTTCACCCCTACTTCTCTATGGGTATGTCTATATGAGACACTAAAAGTATATTAGACTAATTCTACTGTGTATGTGATGGCAAAACCCATGCTAATGTGTTAATGAGCAGTAGAATTAGTCTACTGAGCATTAGCATCATGTAAAAGAGATGAGCTGGAGCTACTGCGCAGTGGTGCTGATCACAGCGCATTAAGTTTAGTACCTGTTATTACAGGTACTAAACTTAATGCACTGCAATTATAGCACATTCATGTACATGTAGACATGCCCTATGTTTTCAAGATGCTGTTGTTATAATGTTTTTCCCGGAATGGAAATTATTTTTAAAATACATACTTTACCCTAAATAAAAGTTTTAGAAATAATTGTTTTGAAAATAATCCCAAATTTCCAATGATATCTTTCTTAACTGTAAACGAATAAGCCAAGAAAACCTGCCCCCTGCTACTCCACTGATTTTTACATTTTATTATTCATTCAGTCTCCTGAATAGGAATTGGTATAATTTATTCTTTCAAGTTAAAGTGCTATTAATGTCTGTGACTTCCCATTGCAGTAGTAAAAAAAATGCATACAAAGATGACACTATAGTTTGGCTTGGATATACTGAGAATGATTTTAATGTACCCTATTTTCTTACATCCAACACACACTTCCCCCCTAAATCAGGTCCCTAAGATTGGGGTGTGTATCTTAAACAGCAAAGCTGTTTTCTTTGCTGGAAAAGAAGGAAGCTGGAGACCTCGTGTTTTTCATGAAGCTGTCAAAATGGCTTCCACTTGTGTCTGGCACAGCAAACTGAAGGGGGGGATTTCTTTGTTTACCCTCGCACAGCCATAGCTGTAGGGTGAGCGTGGATTCCTTTGTTAACCCTCGCACAGCCATAGCTGTAGGGTGAGCACTGCAGCTTATGCCTAAAACAGCAAATGATCTGCTAGTAGTATCTTGAAGAGGCTTGTGATGTGGAAACAAAACCTTATTTACAGGAACTTTATAAAGAACTACTTAGTGTAAGGAATAGCTTTGCTGCTGTCCTTGCAATGGTCTAGGGTCTAACTTGCTGTTGTACCAGGAAGTTCCTGCTTCCTGCTGCCTAACCCAGACTGTCTCCTGGGATGCCACACTTCCTGAACACTCGTTGTTTCTAGGTTTTACGTTATTTCACAGAGTCAGCCATGACTCTGGAAAAACCTTTTTTCCTGCCTTGTGTCTTCCAAAAAGAAGTGCATGTTTTATTTGGGAGTGTGTTGTAGACAAGAAAATATGGTATTTGAATTAGACTATCTGTAGCTGTATTTATTATAGCTCTGTTAGAAATATGCTATTTGACTAACAGCAAATGAGTCTAAAATATATTTTTTTTAAGTTTATACATCTAGAAAAACCAAAACATTTGAAAAACGAGGACATTCACTTACTCATCATCATCACATATAGATTTGGATACAAAAACTTTAGAGGTTTGATTTTTTTTTTTTGAGGAAGAAAGAAAATGAGGGATCTGAGGAAAAACCAAGAGGAACAGGCTGTATAATGGCCAACACTTCATTAATTAGAGATGTAGTAGACCCAAATTCAGGTTCCTGCTCTGTTTGATTTAGAGTAGGGAAGTGAAATTTTGTCTCCCTAATCCTAAGGACGAATGCCTTAATGACTACAGAGTCAGCTCTTCTCTTTTGTTTACACTTTCCCATTCATATACATTATTAAAAATGTGATGATCTAGAGAATGAGATGGCCTGATTCTGTAGTTCAATGTTTAGGGCATTCTATTAAGACAGCCTACTCTGATCCATGTTGCTGCTCTGAATCACATAGGGTGGGTACAGATGTTATAGTTAATGCATTTTAAGGTTGCAGAAAGTGCTTTACAGCTGTAACAGAACAGAATAGAACATGGCATATAAAGTACTCTAAAAATGGTGGATCCCACTGTGATTTAACCTAGGATGGATGTGTACTAACCTAAAGTGTTTTCTGCTAGAGCGCTGTATTGAACGTTTGTGCCATATTCCATTGAGAGTTAACTTAGAGTGTGATCAGTGCCATCCCAGGCAGCATTGTGCAAGGCTGCACTTTAGCCCTGGCAGAACTCCTGTGCTTTGCACAAGTCCTGGACCTGAGTCAGTGACAGCCTGTGATCCCAGCCTCTAACATAGCCTGGTGGTTCTGGTGGGGGGTTCTGCCCCCACAGATGCCTGGGAGGCAGTGGAGGGGCTGTGGGGGAGCTCCAGGGTCTCTCTCTCCCAGCAGCCCTAGCCAGGTGGTAGTGCGCTGCTGCCTGGCCGGGGTTGCTGTGGGGGAAGGGCTCCAGGTATTACTTTAAATTCCAACTGCCAAATCAAGAGAGAGACCTTATAAAGGGGGATAAGGCAAAATGCAGCATTGATTGATTACATGAATTAGACATAGAGGTTCAGACACACCACTCATATAGACACACAGATCATCATGCACATAATTACATACAGGCACACACAAACACAAAACAACCATTCCATTCAGACATTATAGTCACCAGCAGCAGTTGTTCAATAATAGCACTGGGTGGCCAGCTCAGGCTTTATTGAGAAAGATCCTAGAGATAGCAAATTTGGAGTGGGGTGAACAGACGTGTCTGTGCTCCAAAGTAACAGCAGTTGACAGACTCCCCCAACTTGGCATTTTCAAAGTCCTCTTTTATAGATTGGCATCCTTTGTTTCAGTGCTTTGAGGTTTTTCCATACCCAATTTCTGTTTTTGCAGTTATTCTTCATTCATCTTCTGCTTATCTCAGCCCAAAGTCAGTTTGGTTGTAAAAGTTGGTATCTCAGCCTTGGCGTGTCCTTGCTGCCCATCTGGCAGGATGTGTGCCTCCTTCCTCCTTGTTATCACCTTTGTGCCCTAGGACTCAAAGGGATTCTTCAGCCATCCATTAATAAGTTTACTGACTGACAACTTACATTTGGCACCTTGTTGCTTACATAAACAGTTAAATCTTCTCCTGTCTTTATGCCATTCTTTCACCATTCACCCTTTCACGTGCACTCATTCAAAAAAGGGCATATAGAGTTCATTCACTTATGTCAAGCAAAAGAATACAAAATGGAGTATTCAAGTTACTTACAAAACTAACATGGTTACATTTCACTACTATTACACTCTATGTTAATATCAGCTACATTAATTCAGTTCCTGCTACACAGGGCCTCTCCCATCTCCTGTCACAATAGCTCTGGCCAGGCAGCAGCATGTCACTGTCTGTCCAGGGCTGCTGGGGGGACAGACCCCAGAGCCCTTCCCCTGTAGCAGCTCCAGCTGGGCTGCATTGTGCTGCAGCTCCTGGCTGTAGCTGTCAAGAAGCTGGTTGGGAGGGAGCCCCCTGTGTAGACCCAGACCACCCCTCTGATCCAGTCAGCAAGTGGGGGGGGGAGAAGAAAAGAGGGGGAGTTTCTGTTCCTCTGCTTTTCCTCCCTAGCCACTGCTGACAGGTGCCAGCTGGTGGTGCAGGGGGAGGGCAGGGTGGAGCTGGGGAGTGGGGCTGCTCTGGCAGACTCCTGGGAGGTATGAGAGAGTGCCCCCAGTGGCCAGTGTATCCAGGGTGTGAGCCACCTCCCACCAAACAGCAAAAGTCTGTTTGGTTAGCTCCCACTCTAACTTATTGTGCTTTGAGTAAAGCAAAGTAAGTTAGAGCACTTCCACCAGGGGCTTTTTGAATATCTTTACTTAGCCACAGAGTAGGAATTGAATGTGAGTTTTCTGCTAGGTTGGTGACTGCTCCCCCTACAAGGCTATGGGCTATTCTGAAGTGGGTCTTTCTCTTTCAGTTCCATTGTAGACCAGATAAACTTCTTAACAGCTTTTTGCTGTAACTGAAACAGTTCTGTGAAACATTTGTTTTAATGGCAAAAAGTGTCATCAATTTTTTCCAACTGGATCTAACCACACATTTGCTAGATAATATCTTATAACAAAGAAACACAGTCACCTCAAGGAAAAATACTTGCTTCTTACAGCTAGAGACTCGTGTTTAAGTTTAAGGAAATTACTCCTCTGTCCCTGTAGTTGCTAAAATGGATTATCTCATGTCTGTTGCCTTCTGGGTAGAGCTAGGCAACATATGGGTTTTGCAAAGCAGGCTATGGAGCTCTCTTTTCCTTCAAAAGCTATTGTACTACTTGATTTTTAACTTC